ACTGAGGGCAGCAACGGGGCCACGAAGGGCGACAGCGGGACCACGAAGGGCATGCATATGGGGCCACCACGGGCGCGAACGAGCGGGGGCCACGAAGTGCATACATACATGGGGCCACGAAGGGCAGCGAAGGGGCCACGAGGGGCTGCAACGGGGCCACAAAGGGGAGCGAAGGGGCGACGAAGGGCTGCAACGGGGCCACGAAGGGCTGCAACGGGGCCACGAAGGGCAGCGAGGGGGCCACGAAGGGCTGCAACGGGGCCACGAAGGACACGAGGGGCTGCAACGGGGCCACGAAACAAAGCGAGGGGGCCACGAAGGGCTGCAACGGGGCCACGAGACAAAGCGAGGGGGCCACGAAGGGCTGCAACGGGGCCACGAAGGGCAGGGAGATCCCGATTCCTACGTAATCTGTGAGGGAGGAGTGCTAAGGGTGAGCGCGACTCCTGGGTGCCTGGGTGTCGGGAGCGCGGCGCTTGAATAAATTGCAGGAAATTCCAACGCTAGGGCGCTATTCGTCAGTAAATTGCAAGCACGTCTCCAGCGAGAGCGCGACTCCAGAGCGCCGGGAAAGCGACGCCTGAATAAACTGTTATGAAGGTTCAAGCGAGAGCGCGACTCCTAAATAAAATGCGAAGAAGTTTCGGGCGGGAGCGGGGGTCCCGGCTAAATTGCGAGGGCGTCTCAATCGGGAACCGTTGTTGTTGCAACCCGGGGACCAGGGGCACAGTTTGAGCATCAAGACTTCCCCTGTCAAAAAACAGGGCGCGAGCGTCGAGGGACACACTTTGATTGAAAAAGTATGCACCGGTGGGGGGGAATGAACAATAATGATTCTTCAGAAATGAAAGTTCAACAACAACAGCAGCAACAACAAACAGTTTAAGACTGTTCGCTCTTATCTTCTCGCGTGTCATTCAATATGCACATCCCAAACCCTGGATGCCCGCCCTCTTCGTCTTCGATCGTACCCTTTTTTGGGGGGAATATCCATTCCCTGCCACGTGTGGTTGGTGAAGCCCTTGAAAACGAAGGGTAACAGATAACGGGGGGGGGAATGAGGACGAAGGGATCGGAGGAAGGGAGGGGAGGGGCAAGAAGGAGGGAGGACGATGATTTGCGCTGCGGGTGACGATTCAGTTTGCGCCATGGTTTGCGCCAGCCACTCCAACACAGGTTAACAATAAGTTTCGCCATGGGTCGCGCCATGAAAAGCGCCACGTGCCACCCCCTTGAAAAAAACAGATCGTGGATACCCCCACGGGGGGGCGTACAGCTGCGAACTTGCGTCAGAAACGAATTTCGTGGAACCCTGAAAAAAAAACGAAGTGTTGGGAGAGTGGGGCGGAAGGATCGTGAGAACTGCAACCGTGTCGAGAGGAGCGCGGGCATGCATATGGGGCCACGAAGGGCGCGAGCGAGCGGGGGCCACGAAGGGCATTTAATCCGGGGCCACAGAAGGCAGCGACGGGCCCGCTGAGGGCAGCAAAGGGGCCACGAAGGGCAGCGAGGGGGCCACAATGGGCGACAGCGGGGCCACGAAGGGCATACATATGGGGCCACGACGGGCGCGAGCGAGCGGGGGCCACGAAGGGCATTCGTATATGGGGCCACAAAGGGCGACAGCGGGGCCACTGAGCGCAGCAAAGGGGCCACGAAGGGCAGCGAGAGGGCCACAAAGGGCGACAGCGGGGCTACGAAGGGCATGCGTATAATTGCGAGGAAGTCCAAAGCGAGAGCGCATTTCTCCAATAAACTGTACGGGAGCAGCGATTCGGTGGTAAATTGCAAAGAAGTCCCCAGCGAGAGCGCGATTCCTCAATACATTGTAAGGAACTGTCAGGCGGGAGCCGTTGTAAGCGCGGGCAACGACGGGCGCGAACGAGCGGGGCCCCGAAAGGCATACGTATAGGGGGCCGCAGAGGGCAGCGACGGAGCCGCTGAGGGCAGAAACGGGGCCACGAAGGGCAGAGAGGGGACCACGAAGAGCGATAGTGGGGCCACGAAGGGGATGCATATGGGGCCACGACGGGCGCGAGCGAGCGGGGGCCACGAAGGGCATACCTCTATGGGGCCAAAAAGGGCGACAGCGGGGCCACGAAGAGCGCAGAAAGTGGGCCACGAAGGGCAGCGAGGGGGCCACGAATGGCGACAGCGGGGCGACGAAACGCATGCGTATGGGACCACGAAGGGCGCGAGCGAGCGGGGGCCACGAAGGGCATTCAATCCGGGGCCACAGAAGGCAGCGACGAGCCCTCTGAGGGCAGCAAAGGGGCCACGGAGGGCAGCGAGGGGGCAACGAAGGGCGACAGCGGGGCCACGAAGGGCATGAATATGGGGCCACGACGGGAGCGAGCGAGCGGGGGCCACGAAGGGCATTCGTATATGGGGCCACAAAGGGCGACAACGGGGCCACTGAGGGCAGCAAAAGGGCCACGAAGGGCAGCGAGAGGGCCACGAAGGGCGACAGCGGGGCTACGAAGGGCACGTAATGCGGGGCCACACTGGGCAGTGACGGGGCCACTGAGGGCAGCAACGGGGCCACGAAGGGCAGCGAGCGAAGGCGACCGCGGAACCAGTACGGGCAGCGAGGGGCATCGAAGGCGGGCGAAGGGCAGCGAGCGGCGACTGCAGTCCCTAACGGGCTGGTCGGGCGGGCAGGCCCAGACGGGCGGGTCGAGTGGGCGGGTCGTTGAAGCGTAAATTCTGCTTGAACCGCCAGGCAATATGCAGCAGGAGCGCGGTTCCTGAGTGTCGAGGAGCGGCATCTGAATAAATTGTGAAGTCGTAGCAAGCGGGAGCCGGGATTCGGTGGTAAGTTGCGAGGAAGTCCCAAGCGAGAGCGCGATTCTTCAACTATATGGAAGTATCAAGCGGGAGCCGCGACCTGGTGGCAGATTGCAAGGAAGTCCCAAGCGAGAGCGAAATTCTTCAATATATTGTGAGAAAGTATCAGGCGGGAGCCGCTGTTGTTGCAAACCGGGGGGCAACAACACAGTTTGACCCTCAAGACTTTCCCTGATAAAAAAAAACAGGGTGTGAGCCCCAGGAAGGGCACTTCAATCGAAAAAACAATGTGCACCAGACGGGGGGGAATCAACAGTAATTATTCTTCAGAAATGAGAATTCAACAACAACAACAACAACAACAACAATCATTTTACCCGAACGCTCAGTGTTCTCACCAGTGCCAGGGTTTTCATGCGACGCGAGACAATACCCCCACTTCGTGGGGGGGCAGTTCAAGCTCTACCAAATATCCAAACGACTCTTCGCGACCACCCAAACCCAGCTTCCCGCCCTATGACGTTGGGACACTTCACTTCGTGGCGTGCGGACGACCGTGGCTACTACACTGGCGTGGGGTACACACCCACAGAACTTGGTCACTTATTCGGGGCGCGCGTGTGCCCAGCATCCTGCAATTGTGACATACAATACATGACACAGACAGACAGAGAGAGAGACAGAGAGCAGACAGAGAGAGAGACAGAGAGAGCGGAGTTGGTCACATTTTTGGGGCAAGTTCCTGAGATCGTCGTGTTTTTTGTTGGTCTTGCGCGCGCGAATGTCCACTTTACTTTTTTTTGCAAGGGAGTATTGAAATTTGATTATGTTAGAACAAGAAAAAGTAGCTCGCGCGAGCTCATGTAACATAAATGTTGAAAAACCATTGGTTTTGTGGGAGTCGGACAGCGCGCGCGGGATGAAATTTGGACATTTTTTTTTGAAAAACCATTGGGTTTTTGATGTTTTTATGTTGAAATCGTTACGAAACCTAAGGTTCTGGAAGGATTTCGTCTTGCGCGCGCGAATGTCCACTTTACCTTATTTTTTGCAAGGGATTATTGAAATTTGATTATGTTAGAACAAGAAAAAGTAGCTCGCGCGAGCTCATGTAACATAAATGTTGAAAAACCATTGGTTTTGTGGGATTCGGACAGCGCGCGCGGAAGGACATTTTGACAATTTTTTCTTAAAAAACCATTGGGTTTTTGATGTTTTTATGTTAAAATCGTTACGAAACCTAAGGTTTTGGAAGGATTTCGTCTTGCGCGCACGAATGTCCACTTTACCTTATTTTTTGCAAGGGATTCTTGCAATTTGATCAAGTAAAAACAAGAATTTTCATTTTCTATTGTTTTTTGCAAGGGAAAACGAGCGTCAACAAAAAACCGGATCCGGAGCTCATCCACTTTTCTGAAGCTTTCGCGAAAAAATGATGAAAATGTAGCTGCGGCCTAGGCGCGGCGCAGAGGTCGCGCACCAGGGGTCCCAACAATAATAATTCTTTAGAAGGAATAATGTTCAACAACAACCGCAACAACAACAACAACAGCAGCAGCAACAACAACAACAACAACAAACAACAACACCAGCACCAGCACCAACAACCACAACCACAACCACAACCACAACTACAACCCACAACCACAAACAACAACCGCCACAACCACAACAGCAACAACAACAACAACAATAACAAACACACACGAAACACATATAAAAACAAAACACAACAACAACGAACAAGAACTACGCCGGAGATCTGGGTCGCCTTCGAACAGGAGATCGACTGCAGAATTGACTTGATGCATCACAATCATGAAGACTGTTAGGTCTACGACAACTAGATGCAATGTCGAAAGTTGAGCCGGCGAAAACGTCAAGTCCAGGGCACAATAATACTGTAGTCGATTCCTTAGTCCCTCCCGTTTGCATTGACCCCCGTCCCTTTAGCCGCAAGGAGGGAAGAGGGGGAGGAGGAGGAGGAGGAGGAGGAGGAGGAGGAGGAGAAGGAGGAGGAGGAAGAGGGGGGAGGAGGAGAGGAGGAGGAGGAGGAGGAGGAGGAGGAGGTGGGGGAGGAGGAGGGAGAGGAGGAGGAGGAGGAGGAGGAGAAGGAGGAGGAGGAGAAGGAGGAGGAGGCCTGCCCTGCCTCCGCCTCCCCGCCGATCGCCGCGGTCGGGCAGCGCATCGGAGGCCCCGCTGAGGTCAGGCGCCGAGTAGGCGGAAGTTGGTGGCGAGGCACTTGGGCCCAAGGGCGGCCTCCTTCTTGTCCTCCAGGGGGGGAGGGGGGACGGGCGCCGAGACGACGAGACAAGACGAGACGACGAGGGGGGAGGAGGAGGAAGAGTAAGGAGAGGAGGAGGAGGGTGAGGAGGAGGAGGAAGAGGAGGAGGAGGAGGAGGAGGAGGAGGAGGCGACGAGCGAAGAACAGGAGGATCAAGGGGAAGCAAGGTGAAAAGGATGAAAACGAGAATGGGAAAGAGAGGGCGGAGGAGGCGGAGGAGGAGAAGGAGGGGGGAGGGGGACAGGAGAGGACGACGAGACTTGGCTGCGCGTCCAGAGGAAGGCGGAGGGGGGCGGGCCTTCTCAGAAAGCCCAGAAGCCCTCCAGCCTCTTGAGAGGCTCTCCAAGCAAGCCTTCTCCGAAGCCGCAGGGGGGCTGCTCCGAAGGGCGGAGGGCTTCTGCCAAGCCCCGCAGACTTCCGACAAGGCCTGCACCCTCGCTTTTTGCTCCCCCCTCGGCGCGCCGCCGAGGAGACGAGACGAGACGACGAGACGGCACTGCACGCACCGAGGTGCGGCCTTGCCGAGGTCCAGGCGAGGAGGGCCGCAGCCCCCGAGCGGATCAGGTGTCGCCCGATCGGGTCGTGCTGCTGAGAGACGGTGCTGACTCCTTTGGCAGACCCGTTGCCACGCGCACGTCGGCGAGCGCGGCTGCACCAGAGCAGCCTTAGACGTGAAATGCTGCAGATGTGATGTCAATCACTTCTGCGTTCCTGGCCCCAGGGCACTGAAAAACGACCCCCGGGCGCGAAACTTGACCTCACTCCTTCTCCCCTCTCCGTCCCTCCTCCTCCCCCTCCTCCTCCTCCTCCTCCTCTTCCTCCTCCTCCTCCTCCTTATCATACTCCTCCTCCCCCGGAAGGCAATAAGTAGATTCCCCCAAAGAGGTACTCACAGGAGGCTAGCGAGGCTTGACACTCATGAGCAAAAATATGATGACAAGTGCCTGCTCGACGGGGTCCGAGTTACATTGCATCACAGGATCTATAAGTGCCCCTGCCTGGAGCACATCAGGAGGGAGGAATACCCGTCCTTTTTGAAACGATCCGCGCGACCGGTTCATAGTAAAAGTGAGGTGCATGGCGACCTGCTCTGTCATTGTCTGTTCCCGTCCCCTCGCTGGTCCTTTCCCCAAGTTGAGCCTGAGATCTGATGGGTTGGAGTGTCCCCAGGCTGGCGATTCTCGGGGTCTGCGTTTGTCGACTGCATTCCACACCTCCCTGCCTGGCATCAGTAGGGCTGGTTTCTCCACTGTGCAGATAGACAAGGCAGGTAACTTCATCGGAGCTTGCTATAGGATAGTACCCTTGCAATGTGTGCCACTCGAGCGGGCTCGGATTTTGTTTGAAACATAGCATGGCCTCCCCCCCAGCCCAACACTCGGAGTGGATGTATTAAAACCCGTTGCACGTGTACACTGACTGTTCTGCGTCTCTCAATTGTACTGGGGATCCCAGAGTTGCGTTGGCAGACTGCCAACCCAGGAAGAGCTTCTGGCATGTCTGGTGGAGCGGGATCGGCCGTAAGGCGAGCGTGTGCAAGGTCAAGGCTCACAGTGGCCTTCAGGATGCGACTGACGACAACCAAGCCTGCATGATTCGAGACAACAGAGCGGCGGATCACTACGCCAAGCTATGTGCTAAGCTGTGGCGGGTCCCATCCCAACAGGTGAAGTACACCCAAGGCTTGGAGAGCCTAGCAGTAGAGGCCACCAGATGACGTGCGAGGGCTCAGCAAGCGTTCGAGGACTCTGCGTTCGCTAACTCGGAAGGGGGTAGCTGTGACCTCGGATGCCATCTGTTGACCTCTACCGCTAGGCTCCCAAAGCACTAGACATTGACCCTGAGTTCTGAGAGCCACTCGAGAAAGCCTGTGTAGAGGAGGGGGCGCGCCCGTGTGAGGGCCTTCAGGGTGTGTCTCCCGCAGGGGCGCCACCAACTGGTGCTGATGCTGCTGCTCCGCCCCCCCACACCCCCCTCCTCCGCCTCTGGAGCCCCTCGTGTAGAGCCCTGAGGCCCCATGGACCGCCTTCAGTTGGCATAGTGTCGTTCGAGCGGGCCTCGTCGGCCTGGAGGGCGGGTGCGAGGTCTACCCAGGAAGCGTTGCGCTGTTCTGCAAAAGCTGCGGCGCCTCGATGCCTCGTCTGGTCAGGAGGGGTGAAGGCCTGGATGGCCCTTGCTCGGACCCGTCGGCCCCCTGGGCTGGTGGCCCTCTTCTCTGGACGGGGCCTCTTCTCTGGACGGGACCTCGTCGGCTCCCACGGGACCTCCTCTCTGGACGGGCCCAGGCCAGGATCCGGCAACACATCAGGCCTGTCGCAGGCGCAGGTCCACGCGCTGACGCCGCGCACGCCGTCGCCCCAGGGCAACGAACTGGATACCGCCGTGGGCGGCGAGGACTGACCAGGGAAGCGTGCCGACCCGTCGTCGTAGATCGTCTCGTCATGGTGCGGCAGTCGGCTCCCCCTGCTCCTTGACTTGGATGCGGCGCCCCTCCACGAGTTTGCCTCTTTGACTGCGGTTCTCGAGTTGGCCTCCTGCGGCTCCGCCTGAGAAGTCAACACTGTCTACGGCAGATGGTATGTCAAACGAGTGGATGGTGAACGGTGTTCAAAATAGCGCTCTCGCCATGGCGCAGCGTACACCCGTCTGGAACTTTCAGTCGGGGCGTTGACCTAAGGAACCCTAAATAAGGAACGAGGCCTTTTCTGCCACAAGTTCAACTTCGATTTCCTTTGGAAAACCTCACCCGAGGCAAACTTTGAAACAACCAAGGAAGACCGAGTCCCTCCCCAACGAACAGGATTCCTTCTTCAGCGCCCCGACTGTATGTCGCTGCACGGATGGAGGGGCCGGTGGCTTTCGTCACCGGGGTCTTACCTTGGCGCCTCGCACGCCCGTCCTCCAACTCCCCAGCAGGTACACGGACGGAGGGCGGCTCCTGTTCGAGCACGGGCCGTCGCGTGAGACGTCTTCAGCACAGATCCCCCGATGAATGGAAGGGTGCGGCAGCTTCGCGGATGGAGGTGTTTTTTTTTTCGAAACGGGGCGATCGCCTCGGGCATGGCCTGGCGCCATGGCTGTAAGTCTAACACTGTGCAGCAGCCGCATCGGCTGCGGGCTGTTTCTTTTCAAGATGGGAAGAGGAGGAAGAGGAAGAGGAGGAGGAGCAGGAAGAGGGGGAGGAGAAGGAGGAGGAAGAAGAGGAAGGGGAGGGAGAGGAGGAGGAGGAGGAGGAGGAAGAGGAGGAGGAGGAAGCGGAGGAGGAGGAAGAGGAGGAAGAGGAGGAAGATGAGGAAGAGGAGGAGGAAGAGGAGGAGGGAGAGGAGGAACAGGAAGAGGAGGAGGAAGAGGAGGAGGAGGAGGAGGAGGCCACCTTGCTACATGCCTTTCTGAGCTCGAAGGATGGAGGGCAGGCAGTCCCTTCTCACAACGGAGATCCCGCCCGCACTGCGGGACCGTGTGGGGGGGGGGGTCGTGCTGCGAGGGGGCGATCCGCGCAGGGAGCCAAGAGTGCTCGCAGGGGCTCTGCAGGGACGGGACTCGGGGCGGGACAGCTCGGGATGGACACAACCCCCTTTCGCAAAACGTGGTTTCGTGAGAACGACCTCGGGCCCAAACCTGGCGGGTGCAAGCCTGGAAAGTGACGGCCGCGGCGCCCTCTCGAGAGCCGAGAACGGACAATACACTCATCGACGTGTCAGGGAGGGGCTTCTGTCCACCCCCGAACAGGAAGGGGACAAACAAAAAAAAACCACTTCGTTTCCGACCCCGTTGGCGTCCGGCCTGCTGGAGGCCTTTTTTTTGACACAAGCAGTACGTGCGCAATGATGGTTGCATTGCTCGATACGGCCATCCTTCACACGAGCTCCGTAGGCGCGCGCCTTACGACAGCGAGAAGTGACTACGTGATTATCCGACTCACCAAGCACCGAGTCGGCGCAACGACTTAGCAGTCCGAGCCCGCATCTTGGCCGCATCTTGGAGCGATGGCGCTTCGTGCGCACCAATCGCGTCGACGACGAGCACAGCCGCCTCTAGCGGGACAGACACAAGCTGCACCTGGAAAAGCTCTTCTGCTGGGATGACAGTGCTGTTGGAACCCCGTATGGGCCGAGAACTGGGACTCGGCGAGAATCCGACTGCCACCGGAAATCAGCTCCCGCAGCGAAACCCTGGCCTCTCGCGCCTAGACAGCGTGCCGACAGAGCTCCTCGGGCGGTCCTGCGTGCCCTGCCAGTGAGCTCCGTCGCCCATCTCCCCCCGATTCCCTACCTTGTCCGCCTCCCCCGTTTATTTGTGTCTGTGTCATTTTTCCCCTCCTGAACAGCAGGGAACTAGGCTGCACGCGCGCGGGCCACCGAGGCGCCACAGAAACGCAATGAGTGGCTGGGCCATGCGGACGTTTCCTCGTCGTGGGCGAGATGCGACGACGGCAATGCGCTGGCAAAGGGCATGATCGGGTCGATGTGGGAGAGGGGAAGAGGAGCGGGGGCCCGCGCCCATCGGCCAAACAATGATTGAAAGTGCGGCTACGAAAACACCGGCGCTGCTCAGACGCCGCCCAAATCTCTGATTGGATGCGCCGGCCGCGCTGGCTGCACGCGTCCTTCAACCCCCACTGCGCATGCCAGAAAAATACGGAGACTATTCGTGAACGTGCCCTTTACGCCGCACTGCGCAGGGGGGCGCCAACACGACCAGCACAGCAGGGGTCCGCCTCACTGCTCCGACGGGCCAGAACCACAATCGGATGCCAGCCACACCCCCACCGAGATCGTGCTGGTTATCGCGATGGTGCCGCGAACCAGACGAGACGGGCACCGACCTGACTGTTAGCACGTGATGTGAGGCAAGTGGCGCGCGAGCATCGCCTAAACGTGCCAAATTCAAGCAGAAGCACGACTGCGAAGCGATGCGGACATATCCGAAACATGCCAGGAGATGCGGATTTCCACATCTGACAAGTCTTCTGTCCGGGAACACTGCAGTTTCAAATAACCGCATGGTGAAACACTGCAGCAATCAAGAAGAAACATTACATGTCTCTAGCAAGTGATAGCACGACAGGGGGCGGTGGGGGCAGAAGAGCAAGAAGCAGGGAAGAAGGGCTCCCCCAGCGGCTAAAAAGACAGTCATGCAGCTACGCCAAAGGGCTGGCCGGCGGTCAGCCTAGAAAAGTGTTGCCACTGATACCTGAAGTGTTGCTCCTACTGAAGGGGCCTCCGTTCAGCCGCAGCAAGCTCTTGCCGCTGCTCTGTCGCCGAATGCTTCTGCCACTGCTCTGCCGCTGTAAGCTCTTGTTGCTGCTGGACTGCCGCTGCATGATCTTGGGACTATTCTGCCGCTGAAAGAACGGCCTTGGTCGCTCCTCTTCGCACATGTAGTCGAAGCGCGCGCCTGGAAAGATGGCACGCGCAAACTCAGCCGCGTCCAGAGCGCCACTGCCTTCTTTGTCCATATGATGAAATAGAGCAATGACCCGATCCTCGGAAAGCCCTATCTTCATCTCCTTCACGAGCTCGCAGAAATCGTCGAGCTCGAGCACTCCAGTATCGTCAGAGTGCCCTGCCGCCTTGAACAGAGCGTGAATGTCATCGGCTGTGTAGCCCCACTGGTGCACCTTCTTCCGAGTCTTCGAGAGCAGCAAGGAGTAGTCCCTCGCGTTCCACACTTGGTTGAACGTGCTTCCGATGATTCCGATAGGAACGGCCATCATTATGACCCCCATAACAATCAAGACCATGACGATTGTGGTTCCCGCCGTTGTAACGGGGGAATAATCCCCATAACCGACTGTGGTCACGGTCACAAGACAGAACCAGACAGCTCGAAACGGCGATTCGAATATCTCTGGTTCAACGAGGTAGATGAGGGTGGCGAACGTCATCGTTATCAGGGCCACAGAGTACAGTAGCATCGGAAGGGCCTCCATCGTGATCTTGAGAGCCTGGATGAGCACGTTGAAGGTCTCAAAGTTTCGTAAAATCTTTAACAGCCGAATGATGGGCACGAAGCACAGCAGCATGACTGAAATTGCATCGTCCTGGCTTTCTGGGAGCACGAAGCCAACAGCTGCCCGCACCACGATCGCACTCGCGGCTAAAAGATCGATCCACGAGTTGGGGATAAAGAAAAAATTCACCCAGTTAGGGGCACAGACCCAGCGAGTAACGACCTCCACCAGAAATACGATGTCGAAAATCGTCTCGACGATGGCAGCTGACCACCCGTGCAGGGGCGGATCTTCAACAGTCTGCAGGAAGGTGGCCAGCACACTGATGAGCACAACAGCTTCCAAGCACTTGGCAGTCCACCACGCCACTCTGCCTGACGTGGGGTCATCTAAGACCGTGTGGACGTAGTCCACGGTGGAGCTGCGGCTGTCCCTCAGCGCCCGCGGAAGCGACTGGAAACGCACGTTCACCTTCTCGATATCCTTGCTCTGGGACTTCTCGAGCATCCTCCTGACCAGGAAGGACTTCCTCGACTTCTCCTTGACCACGCTCAGCTCGGACGCACGCGGGAAAGCCGACAGCCGACTAGGGCCAGGCACATCCAGGGACGCCCAAGGCCGGACCGGTTTCGGACTCTTTGGGCTCATGTTGGGAATGAGCGGGCCACCGTCCACCGCGCTCATCGTCGACCCTCGGCGCCGGGACACCGCAGAGCTGTATGCGCTCGCGCTCCTGTGGCTCGCGTGCGATGTGCCTCTCATGACTGCCGCGTCGACGTCGAGGCGGGGGGAGTTCAACGCGCTCATGGCGCTCGCGACGCTCAGTCGTGTCGGCTGCTCTGACGACAGCGGTCGCTCGGGTGGCGCCAACCCGACGTCAAGCTTCCGTCAGTCTGGCGAGTTGCTGCGGTCGCTTCTCCTCCTCGGGGCTTCCACGCCGGAGGAGCTTGGCGCGCCCATGTGCGCTGTCGCCCTGCTGATGCCACGCTGCCGTCGGTCTGGTGACAGGCTCCTGTGGCTCCTCGACGCTCCACGGCGGGGAGAGCTGAACGAACCCGTGAAAGTCAAACTTTCCACCCTGTTGATGTCGAGCTGCTGTTGACCTGGTGTTAGGCTCCCGTTGCTCAACCCTGACTCGCAACTGTCGCGCCCAGAGAAGGCCGGCGCCAGCGCTGTGACCGCTGCTGGAGGCTCTATGTTGATTACTTCGCCTGCGTCTGCCACATTGCGGAGAGTCTTCGTCGTCTGGGCCGTGTCCGTGCCCGGCGCCAGTGCGTCGAAGGCGCTGCAGCCAAGGCTGGGGCCACCGGCAAAGCTGTCGAGGTGGATGGCTGCAACACCGTTGATCTTGACGCGAGAGGTGAGCCACTCGAGCTTGCTGTCGATCTTTTCTAGACGCATGGACAACTCCTGGCCGAAACCCGGCGTCGGATCGCATTTCGGAAACGAAGGTGTGCCAGGGAATTGACGACCATGGCTGTCCGCCTCGGTGCCGATGCCTGCGGACAATGCCGCCGTAGTCGCATATATGTTGACGCCGTGCGTGGTCTTGGGGCTGCTGGGCATCGGCGGGGGTGGGCAGGAAGGTACAGGCGCTGCGGACTCTGCGTCGGACCCTTCCTCAACCCCGGCAATAGTGATGATGTCCATGTGCTGGGAGCCGAAGCCTGGGCTGGGCGCGGGGAGCGCCGGGCGCACAGCAAGGCGCCCAGGCGGCGCCGACGCCCGCAGGGCGGCGCCGTCCGGGTCGCGGGAGCGGTGGCAGGAGGCAGCCGGGCTGCGCCTTGCCGCGGGTCTTGAGACCAAGCGGCTTGAGCCAAAATGTCTACGGATCCGGCCTGCTGGAGGCCTTGGGAGCTTCACTTGTTTGGTCCTTTCGAGCCTGTGCTCCCGAGTGAACAGGGTCAACTTTGAAAAGAGGGGGGGGAAGGGGGGAGCGGAGCCAAGGGTTCCACTTTTCTGTCCATCCACGGCAGGGCGTATTGCAGCATCATTGGTACATCTTGGGTTTACACTGGGCTCTGGACTCTGGTGGCATCGGAGTCCCGAAGGTCGCTGCCGTCCCCACCCCTCCTCCCAGCAGCCGCTGCCGCGGGGGAGAGGACGATCAAACACGGCAGCTGTACGTTTACAGAGCGTGGGAAAGATGGAGAACCCCGAGGGGGGCGGGGTGGCTACGTCCTCCTGTTGCGGCCCCTGGGGGCAGGTGGGAGAGAAGGACGGCGGGGACGGCACTGCGACTAACCTGAAACCTGGGTTTGAACTGACCCACCTCCTCCTTCTCCTCCTCCTCTCCCTGCTTCTTATCCAATCCCCGCCGCTACTGCTGTCTTGCCGCCTCCCATTTGCAAACACACACACACACAGACACACACCACGCGGATCGTACCCCCATGGGTAGCTCCACCTGCGGCCCCAGCGGCGGCGTTTTTTCAACGTCGGTGGGCCCATGCCACATGCCCGGGCACTCCTCTCACGGATAGCGCCCGATTGGAAGCTCCACCTACAGTTACAACCCGAGAGGGGGCGTTCCTATAGTTGGCGAGCCCATGTCGGCGCACCCTTCACACGGATCGTGACCCGTAGGGAGCTCCACATATGGAACCAGCGGGGGCGCTCCTGCAATGTCGGCGCGCCCATTTCGGCACACCGCTCAAACGGATCGTGCCCCATAGGGGATTCCAACTACGGCCCCAGTGGGGGCGTTCCTGCAAGATCGGCACGCCTAATTTGCCACCCCCCTCACACGGGTCGTGCCCAGTAGAAAGCTCCACCAATGGCCCAAGCGGGGACGTTGCTGTTGCGTCTGCGCGCCCCTGTCGTCACACCGATCATGCACAACCGGGAGTTCCACCTACGGCGCCATCCGGGTTTTCCGCAGGCATCACCGCAAGACAGCCCGAGTAATGCCTCTGATAATCCAGACAAGAGTGCCCAAGACGGATCAAGGACGGTTCAAGACCCGCGAAAACATCCCCAAGATGGTTCAACCGAACCTTGTCGGGAGAGCTCTGTGGAACCACAACGCAAATACCGCCGCAAGACCCCCGACGGATCCCCAATGGGCCCCCACAAGCCCCCGAAGAAGCCCCCAAGAGGGCCACAGATAAGAGACCCCAAAGCAGTCCCAAAGATGGTTTCAACAGAGAGGCGGGGAAATAGGGATAAGGAGAAAGATCCGCCAACCCTGTCAGCGTGTGTGAGCGGCTTTTCCGTTTTCGTCGTCGTCGTCGCCGTCACCGCTTTCCCCTCGTCTCTGTCCGTGGGCCCTCCTCGTCAAGCGTCTCAGCCAAAGAGAGATCGAGCGGTGTCGTGAAGGGGGCGAAGGTACGCCACTTCCCCTCCGATCCCTTCCCCGAGGAGGGGGGGAGTGGTAGCAGGGGGGCCAGGGTCGGGGGGGTTCGCGGGGAGGGGGGGGCAGGGAGGGCGCCCAGAGGGGGTAGGGGTTGGGTGGTCCCGGGGCCCCCCGTGGGGGAGCACCCCTCCCTGGGAGAAGCTTCCCCCTTTGATTCCTTCCCTCCCAGGCGCCTCGGGCTCCCCCTTCAGGGTCGGCGGCACCCGCCGTGAGGCCTTCACGATGGGAAGGCGGAAGGAAAAGAAGAACGAGTCTGCAGACAAGGAGGTCCAAGACAAGTGCCAGATCAAACAGGGCACCGAACGCGAGCGGGTGGTAAACTCGACCTTCTTCCTGCTGCGCGGCTGCGCTGAAACGATGAGGTGGCAGGGTCTGCCGCAGGCCATTTTTGTTTAGGGTCTGCCGCGGGCAGCTGGCATGTTTGAATAGTTGTGCTGCCCAGCTCGAGCTTGCCCCGGCAAAGCCACGGCCTTCAGGGCAGCATCAGGTCGCACCTCTACAGAAATCTTGACGCGGCAAGGGCGCACCTAGATCTGGCAGGGTGGAATCATCACGGCACTGCCCCTCGACGCTGCCAGGCTGATGGAACCAGCGGCGGGGGTGCGAATCGTGATGTAACCCAGACGACTGCGCCTCCTCAATCATCTGCTCGACCCATTTTCGCGGAGGGTCCAAGTCAGGCTCCGAACGGATCTTGGCGAGCACTTTCTCCCAAATCTGATCGTCCATTTCCATACGATCACCCCGGACCAAGACATAGCAATAATGAACTGTGCGGCGCCTTGTATGAGACTCTGTGCTATGCGGCTCTTCCCGTTTTTGCACAATTGCGATTACGTGCTCAAGCACCCAGCAAAAACAAGGCAAACGAAAATATATATCCAGGTGGCGGGGGGGGTGAAATGATATACAGACGAAGACGCCTGCTCCAGGTCGGAGAATACGATGGACTTCTTTTAAAAGCATCAAAATCCGCAGAGCGCTTGCGTCATCGTCGCACAGGAGGGCATCAATAGTAGACTTCTCAAACGCCATGTCTACACAGTGAGACCCCGTGCCATTGCGGTGACTTCTCATGGGAAGCCGAACGCGGCTCTCTATCGCAGGTCCGATCTCATTCAAATCACACCCATCCGCAACCATCAGTAGGATTGGCTCCAGCTGCTCCTCATTGGACCCCTCCTTCATGCTGCAGCGAGACTTGGCGTCAGCCTCTGACAGCATACGTTTGATGCATACCTCGGAGATGTCGGTGACAATTTGGTTCGAACATCCTAACCGAGACTCAAATAATTCTGGAAACTGACTATTCCCTGACCCAAGATGAAGAACGAGAAGGTCGCGAATGGTCAGGTCTCGACCCGGCCCCCAACAGATATCCTCAGGCGCTTCCAAAGCGGAAGACTGTCGCAAGTTTGCGGAAACAGACGCACCTTGCCCAGATCCTGGACCGTCTATTGACGACAAGATCCTGTTTTTTAACTGCCTCAAAATAAGCTGGAGAGGGAGCTCTACGTCTTCAAATTCGACGACCCAGTCATAGCGGAGCTCCGCACTCTCAGCATACTCGCGGTCCCAGTACTTGGCTGACCCGAAGCAGGGTAACGAAGTCGGCCCAGGAGAAGCACACATCGAGGCGCACACGGGTAACTCAGCGCGGCCCAGCGGCCGAATGCTTGAGCCTGGCCTGACACTGCGGAGGCACTGCACAAAGAATCATCGAGGGCTTGTGGGCGCGGACCCGAAACAGTGAGTTCTTGCACTCTAGACGTGTCAGCTGTATTAGGTGGCGACGGGGTGGTACCGGGTGGTACACTGTAATGTGACCTCTGCTGTAGTACAAGCCATGTGGTGCAAGCCATGGTGCAAGAAACGTGGCGGATTCCGGAAACCCTACACCCAAAAGCGTTTTCATCTCTTGGGGGCGCATCTTTTACTTCCGCCAGCTTCCGCCGGCGGATGCGGCCTCGTTCTACTTCCGCCGCCATTCCACAGCCTTCCGCCGAGGAAGAGACGACAGCTCCTTCGATCATCGTAGGCAAGGCCTTTTTGGAACGCCCCACGTGGTGCAAGTCTGTGTTGCAAGCCATGTGTTGAAGGATCTGTGGTTCCAGCTGTGTGGTGCAGTGTATGTGATTTAGCCTATGTGGTGCAAGATGTAGCGTGACGCCCACGGGCGGGCGTCTCACGCAAGTGCAAGACTTCATCACTCGCCCACCGTGCTGCATCCATGGACACTGCAGGCTGCTAGACACTTCTCGCCAGATCCAGGGCGACGACGACGAGGACGACGACGCCAGCAACGACTAGAAGAAGAAAAAACGGCATATACATAAAGTGTTGGCGCTCCGCGCGGATTTCTTGGATCCAAGAAATCCGCGCGGAGCGCCAAAACTTAATGTTTATGCCTTCTGTTCCTCCGAACCAAGGCGGCGGTGGCGCGGGTCCATCTTGCCCTGGGCCGCCTCGCTGCGGAGCCGATCGTCGATGCGCCCCAGCAGCGGCCAGGCGGCCTCGGACAGGGGCAGCTTGCCGCTGCGGATGCAGGAGCAGATCGCCGCGGCGGCCGCCTGCCGGGCTCCAGGAGGGGAGATCATCGAGGCTCGAGAGCGGAAGAGAAAACAGCAACAGAAACGCAGACTTCGGGAGGCCCGCGCGGACCTCCGCGAGTCCATGTGCATGCAGTTGTCTGCTATTCGATCGCCGGGGCCGTGAGCATCGTCTGTCCGACCCCTTTCCCCAACGGCGTGGCCTGGGCCCCACCGACCGATCTACCCCCTAGATGGGGATATAGGTAGTTCCCTTCGGGTTTCGAGGAGCATACCCCCGACTGCGGTGCTGCGATGGTGGGGGTCTGAATGGGGATGGAGATGGGGATAGTGCGGGTCCCAAGAATATACAGCAACACCACCTTCATCCCTTCATCCCTTCATGCCCTCCTCCAGCCTCCTCTTCCTTTCATCTCTCCTGGAAAGCGGGGGGGGGGGGGAGGGAGGCGGTGGTGGTGGTGTATACTTGTGGCCCCCGTAGGTACGTACGGTGTCCGTGAACCGATGCCGAGCGCAGCTCGCGCGGGCGGACCCGCAGGCGGGTTGCGCCCTGCAGTGCAGACGGCCGCAGCGGCACGCGGCGGGGCGCGCAGTGGGGAGCCCGCCTGCCCGCCGGCATCGACGACCGCCCGGCGCGCGAGGCCGGCGGCATCGGCGGCCCTGCACGGCTCACGACGGCAGCGGTGGCCCGGGCGGCAGCCGCAGCAGCGCGTGGCTCCACGGCGACCGCGACTGCAGCGGCGGCACATCGGCACGGCGCGCGCGGCGCGCCGCGAAGGAGGGCGTCGTCGTCTGTCGAGGAGGCCTCGCATGCACGCGGCCGGCCGAGTTCGGCGGAGCGGTTTCGGCCCCGCTCGGGGCTTTGAGCTCTGCTAGTGCAGGAAAGGGCCAGAAACTGCTCCGCACGCCAAATCGTACAAGTCATCGCACCGGATGCACTCTCGCGTCGAGTAGGTACTACTCCACTTGGTCCCCCTACTCCGCCTAAATGCAACCATTTCGAAACATGACTGATGCCACGATGACGTATACGAAGTCAGCCCGGAGGCGCTCAGCGGCGGCTCGGAGGCCGTGAGCGTCACAGAACTCGGTGGCTAAGGCGACACGTGTGTGAAGGCTTGGGTGGCGTCGACGAGAACGGTGACGGCCACGCCCTTTCCTCCCCCATGCCCCCTCCCCCTCCCGGCTTTCCCTTCTACCTCCCTCCCTCCACCTCCCTCTCTCGTCGCCAGCCCGCCGTCCGCGGTCGCCGTTGCCATCGGCGCCGTTGTTGTCGCCGTCGTCAGCGTCGTCCCTCGCAGCCGTCTGACTACTTACCTACCAGACCACCCCAATCCAGCCCGAAGACACGAATTTTCTGGTTTGGGGGACGGTACGGGATTCATACTGCGCCGGTCCGAAAGTTTCCCCAATTTCGCCACCATGCTCGCCGCGGCCATCTGGGGCGGCGCGCGCAGGATAAGACTCGCGGGGCCCGAGGGAGGATGGGGGCGATGTCGCGAGGGCAGAGTCGCCGGGCCGATGGGCAGCCTAGCGCCCCGTTTGGCCGGAGGGGCCCCGTACAATGCTAGGGCAGAGCCTAACCCCCGCCCAGGGTCGCGGGATCGGGTTCCCCTTCCCAATTCAAAATTTTAAATCCCAAACGGTGTACTGACCCGAAAATGAGCAAACGGCATAGGATCTCCTCCAAAAAAAGCTGCCGGGTTCGGTCATGCGACGACCCGAAAAATTTACCGACCGACCTGAATGTGGCCAAATCTCGTAGGACTTGTGCCCAACAAAGAATTTGGGTCCGGTTCGAACGACCCGAAAATGTACAAATCGCCTCAAACGTCGTTCTCGAGGTCTTCGGGACCACTCCGACGAAACCGAACCGGGCCTCGTCCGAAGGAGCCGCCGATGGGCAGACCGCTCAGGACTTCCTGCGCAAGAAACGGTTTCCCGGGTGAGCCATTGTCAACGGGAACGCGCCCGGCGCGGGATCGGAGTTCGCCCAGGGGCGCGGCTGCTCTCGCCTGCATTCGCGCGGCGCCGTGCCTCTCACATCGGAATAAACTTTCAGAGCGCCGATGTATGTGTGTTTTCCCATGTTCCCCGACTCCCCACACACTGGAAATGGAGGGCACATCGGGGCCTTCGGGCTGGGTTTGGGGTGGTTTGGGGAACGGTGACCGCCTTCGTCCCTCGTCCTCGCCGTCGTGGCCCCCTGGCGCCCTCCTCCTCCTTCTCCTCCTCCCCCTCCTCCTGCAGCGCACCGTGAAAGAGCGAAGACCTCGCCGCCCGGTCTCCGGGTCATGTACACCCTGCGAAATGCTTAAGAAATCATGGGTTAAGAAATTCATAGTCTCAGAAATTGATTTAAACCCAGAACTTCTATCAAAATCTTGGGATTTACATTCAAAAGTTAAGAATAATCGAGACTCTGGCCGAAAATTTAGGTTTTCTTAAGCATCGCCTAAGGTGTATGGCTCGGACCTCGGGCGGCCGTCTGGGACGAGCCTGGCACCCCGCAGGCCTCTCTCTCGGCGAGGCACGGCTGCCAGAGAGCACCCCAGGGCTGAAGAGCCGCCGAGAGCCGACGAGGAGGAGGAGGAGGAGGAGGAGGAGGAGGAGGAGGAGGAGGAGGAGGAGGAGGGGGAGGAGGAGGAGGAGGGGGAGGAGGAGGAGGAGGAGGAGGAGGAGGAGAAGGAAGAGGAGAAGGAGGAGAAGGAGGAGGAGGAGAGGGAGGAGGAGGAGGGGGGGAGGAGGAGAGGAGGAGGAGGAGGAGGGGGAGGAGGAGAGGGAGGAGGAGGAGGAGGAGGAGGAGGAAACCGCCCGAAGACCAAAGCATTCCCCCCGTCGTCGTCGTCGGCGTCCCTCGCCGTCGTCGCCGGCGTCGTCCCCGACCCGCGGAAAGGGGCCTGATGCGGCGAGGACGCTTTGCTGGAGCCGCCGCCCTCCTCCGCCTGGTCCAGAAGGGCCTCCCGCCACGCAGAGGGGGGCGTCGTCCTTCTCCTCGCGCCTGCTGCTCCATCCTCTCCCTCCTCTTACCTCCTCATCCTCCCTCCTCCCTGCTCCCTCCTCCTCATCATCCTCCCCCCTGTTGATCCGCCTCCTCGAGCCCTCTCGCGGGCCATAACAGAACATACGAGCAGGCCCCAGTTGCACCCGAATCGGGCTCCTCCTCTGCCCTCTTCCCTGCTCCCCTCCTTGCCCTGCTGCCTCCTCGACCCCCCCGCACCAAGAGGCAGTCGTCATCCGCGTTTCCAGCCTGCGCCTCCTGCGCGCGGGGGATGGGGGGGTTACGACAAGCATTGGAAACATACAGGTCGAAGGAGACAACGACGAAAGGAAGAGAAGGAGGAGGAATACGACGACACTATACAGGGGAACGATCGGAAAACAATGATGAAGAGGAGGAGGAGGAGGAGGAGGATATGGATGCAGATCCTGAATGTATGTTCACACACACACGCGCATATATGTATACATATATCTCTTCCTATATTATTGTAAACCCGGGCGGGGAGAACCCCCCCCCCCCCAAAACCGGACCCCCGAGATCTGGGGCTTGGGGACCTTCCGGACGGGCCTCGAAGAGGCCCCCCCGGGCCTCGCAGGGCGTTTTGCCAAGCCTTCGCAGCACACCTACGGCGATCATGGGGGGTCCTCGGAGACGTCCCAGAGACCCCCAAGACAGCACAAGAGCGCTCCAAGAGTGACCGACGTGACCTCAAGATGGCCCAAGAGGCCTCCAGGACGTCCCAAAAAGCCTCCCACAACCATCCGAAAGGGCTTCCAGGCAGTCCAAGAGAGCCCCAAAACGGCACAGCAGGGGTCCAAGATGGCCCTCCATGGCGGCCCAAGACGGCCCCAAGACACTCTCCGAAGCATTCCAAATCGTGACCCGGTCGTTCAGGGAGACCGCGGTTGGAGGCAGGGTGGCCCGAGGAAGCCCCCAGAACGCCCAGAACACGCCCAGGAGGCCTTTCAGAGCCTCCGCAGAAAGAGCTAAGGAGGATGGGGAGGATGCGCAGGGTAAGGCGAGAATGAGGAAAAAGAAACATGGAGGAAGGGTAACGAATAACATTATCATAGCGGCGATGCTGGAAAAGGCAACAAGGAGTTATCGCTAATTTGTCGGCTTGACCTTCCTGCCATTCCGCCTGCATACCAAAATTCAAGGACCAAGGTGCATGGCACGAAGCGCCACTGCAGTCTTGTACATATATATATATATATATATATGTATGCTCGCCCCCCCTCCTATGATCTACCTTATGTCTTTTTTGTAGCACAAAGGAGCACAGTGAATCAGCGAGACCACTTCGAAATCATACCTCGCGCAGCATATGACTTGGTCTGATGCGGGAAAGGAGCATCGCTCGCAAATGACATAAACAATCAATAAAGACCCTTGAGCATTTCACCAGTGCAAGCCCACAAATCCGCACCTTTGTTCCAGTATGTCCACTGGGCGGAACGAATGCGGCGCGTTGCGGCAAGGGTGCCAACCCTGTGCGTGCGCGATTGCAAATGCTTCCGCAGATGCGACCAGAATCGATCGATGATCTGCGTTCCCGACTTAGTGTACATCTGCTCGCCAGTCGGCAATCTGTGGGCCACAACCTCAGAGTATTTCGGCTTGATCCAGCGTGTCACCCCTCGCAGAGTGACCTTCTTCTTCATGTGGACAACATTGTCGTGCAGAACCTTCGGGATCTTGAGCTTGTACGCTTTCGCCCCGTCTGTGTGCAGCACGACCTCTCGGTTCTCAAGGTGTCGCTTGGCAATAGGCTTCCAGTCGCGTTTGCGGATTGGGCCAGGCCCTGGAGCACGCCGCTTCGTCGTGCATGGATCAAGACGCGTCAGGACCAAAGTGTTCGGCCTGCCCCGCTCGACTAATCCTCCCCATTGTTCCCATTGCACTGGCTTGTCCTGGTCATCCTTCTCCGCATCGTCCCTCTTGCCCAGGTCCACCTCGTCCGCCTCCACGTCCGGCCACTTGTCGATAGCGCCGAACTTGATGCTCTTTTCCTTCTTCTTGACATACTTCATCCTGGCGCTGTCAAGGCGAGTGTAGACATTCTCGATGAGCTTGTGGCTATTACCAGTTATCTGGTGGCACTTGCTCTGTGCCACGTCCCAGGTCGCACACATGCAGACAGCTACCTTGTCCGCGAATGGCGCTGATGCGTTGCCCCGGCCATGTGAAAACACAGGATGGTCGTGATGGGGCAGCACAAACTTCTGGCACCTTTTGCATCTGCATCGGTAGCTCGCGCTCCTGCCTGGAAAATTCTTCAATGGGCCCAACTCCCCCTCCCCGCACCAGGGGCAGATCTCGCCGCGCCAATCGCGAAGATGGCCGCTCGCGGTGAGCTTCTTCACTAGGCCCATCGCAGTGGCGGTGTACACGGTCCTCAGGGAACATTGGATTGCAATCCGTTCTGGGCGAGATTTAATAGTCTTTTGCCCGTGTCGAACGTAAGGCACGTATGGGGTCTTGTGCTTCGCAGCTGGCCTTTTTGCGATCTTCCTGACCATGCGCGCCTTCCCACGCTTAGGCATGCAAGACTGAAAGGCACTGGGCCTCTTCGTGCACGGCCGAGTGGACCCAGCAACCAAATCCAAAACATCAGCCTCGATACTAACTTTGCCGTCATCTCCGTCAGCCACTCGGAGCAGGCGAACGTGGCGTCGGCCATCGTCCCAATGAGTAACCAAGTCGTATAGAGCCTCGTCACCCATTTGCATGACGACTTCCTGACGCGAGTCGTAAACCAACATCATCGGCGACCCCTCGCGGGCACGAAGACCAATTGCATGTCCACGAGTTCCGGGTGTGCCGATATGCAGGACAAAATTATCCATGGGATCCGCGCAAATCAAGTCGCTCAGCAGTACCTCGGAGAACTTGAGAGGGGGGTAGAGCTTCTGCAATTGTCGGTAAGAGTACGGGCCGCTAGCGAACCCTGCCTGGCTCGGCCCCCCCGCAACTAAGTCCATGTTTGTGAGAGCACTGATGACGCACATGTTCTCACCGTGGACAACCTCGAGCGCCTTGCCTTCCAACTTCTCGCACGCAGCCGCCAGGACGGAAGAGAAGTCGTCCTCGCGCGGCCGAGAAGAGGAACTGCTGCCTAGAATGCGGTCGCCTGGCTCGGGAGCGGCGCTCCTCCAAGGAATCGGCGCGCCGCTTAAATCCTTCAATTGCAGAGATATCCCGTGGCCGGCTTCGATCGCAGACACATGTGCGATGAAGTTCTCGTCGTGCACGTCGAGCCCCATGGGTCTGAAGTAAATACCGTCGTAGACTAAAGAGATCGGCACCGCACCTGCTTCTTCCAACAGGTGCTTCATGTCCATCAGGACACTGCACTCCAGTTCGCCGAGGAAGATGTGCAGCGAGCTGCAATCTGGTCGCGCCTTCGCGACCTCCTGGTAAAGAACGTCGTGCTCGAGAAGAAACCGAGAAGCATTGACTATTTCCGTCTGCAAACAGTCCAAGTGTGGGAGCCAGTCAGGCCGCTCCTGTGGATTTGGCGACTGCCGCCCGTAGGGGCTGGTTGCCGAAATCAGCAGCTTCTTCGCGACGGCCACCTCGACGTCGAAGTACTTAGACACAAAAGTCTTCCATCCGTCCCAGTTGCTGACAACGTTGCACAGAAGCGGGAACTCTGCTTCGACGTTGAGCTGATCGTGCTGCTTTAAGGCAACAACCAACAAGCTGAAAAACGCAACCTTCATGTCGAGTTCTAAAACGCCTCCTGGAATGCCGGCCAAGGCGGCGCGCCGAGCTTCCCTGGTAACTTTCTGGAGTGAAGGTCCCGCAGTATGAATTCGCCCAAATCCATATTTCATGTAGGTCCGAAGAAGACTCCTCAATGAGCGCTGTCCGCCGTCTGCAGCGACTTCCATGGATGCGGTTCCTCGTTTCTCCAATAAACGAGAATATCCTTGAATCTGGGCCTGCCGCCGGTCGACGCCAGAATCGACGTGGGCAACCAAGCCGTTGATGTCCACGACGTCCGCCACCGCGCACACAACGGAGCAGTTTGCCTGACGGAATTCCTGCTCTTCATCAGACAACATGTAGTCTTTATCCTCAGGCCGAGCTCCCATGAGCCATCAACTGCGATCACATCCGTCCCCGCCCCCGACCCCCCTGGCCATCCCTACTGCCTATGCGCCAGTAAAACAAGATCGCATGTCATCGTTGAATACATGGGGCATTTTCCGTACTCCCGCGGCCAAGAATGCGGGCGCGGGACTCGACGCCGCAACTGACGACGCCTCGGACGCCGCAGGAGCAGGCGGCGCCACCGTTTCGGCTCGCTGGCCGTCGGAGGTTGGGGTAGTCTTCAGCTCCGTGAGCATGTTCAGCGAGCGCAGGATGGCGGTGGCTGTGTCTGGAATTGGGAAGCAAGCAAAGCTGTTTTGTTGTGCGAAGTCGTTAAAAATATTAACAACGTGTATGAATCACCGCTACGCTCTCGTTAAAACGACAACTGAGCACTCAGCTGACGCTCAGACTCAGAATGGTACTGCTGTTAGGTCGTCGGAGGGCCTCCGAGTATGGGAATATAAAAATGGCAATGATTCAAGCATGTTGTTACGGTTGAAATTAATGCTTTGTTCGCTTCCCAGGCCTGGAGAGAGCTCGGGCAGCGTCCTGTCAAGCCAGGTTTTCCGGAAGGGTGCGTCCAGCTCTCGCAAAAATTGGATTAACTTGCGGCGCTTGCGGTCGGCGTGGTTCTCGACGGTCTGCGGGTTCTCGCACAGGATGCAGATGGATCCTGCGTGTTTGACGGTGCGCGCATTGCCGTCCTCTCGCCAATGGCACGTGCCGCTTTGGCAAGCGTTGACCATAGTGACTGAATGCGGGATCCGCTCAGGTAGTCCGGAGCCTTGAGCCAAATGCAGCGGCGTTGGTAGAAGGTAGAACTAAGATTTGAGGAGAAGGAGGAAGTGGAGAGGAGGCAAGGAGAGGAAAGGAAGGATGAGGAGGAGGGGGAGGGCAGACAATGAAAGCTCACTCAACGTTCTCCTCCTCCTGCTGCTAATCCTCCTCCTCCTCCTCACTCCACCTCCTGCTCCTCCTCCTCACCTCTGCTGCTGCTGCTCCTCCTCCTCTTCCTGATTCCTCCTCCGCTCCCTCCTCATCCGTCTTCTCTTCCTGCACCTCCTCCTCTACCAGCTCCTCTTCCTCCGCCTCCCCCTCTTCCTCATTATCCTCCGATTACTTTTCATATGCCTCCAACTCCTTCTGCGCCTCCTCCTCCGCATCCTCTTCTTCTGATCCTCCTACTCCTGCTCCTCCTCATTCTCCTCCGCCGCTTCCTCTTCAGGAGGACTGGACGTAGTCTGAGGCGCACCGATCCGTCCTAAAAAGACCGGCGCACTTTACAGAAGGCAGGACCTCGCCATGGTCAAGCCGGGACCCTGGGGGAGTGGGAGGAGGAGGAGAAGCAAGAGGAGGAGTGCGGAGGAGGAGGAGGACGACGACGAGGACGAAAACTGAGGCCTCAGTTTTAACCCTCAAGCGGGCCAGGTCACCGAAGGCCATGGCGCCGTTTGTGGACGTACGCTGTCCTTTCATCTGATCGCTCCTGATCGCTCCTTCTCCTCCTCCTCCTCCTCCTCCTTGCCCTTCCTCCTACCTCTCCTCCTCCTCCTCCTCCCCCCATCCGCCATTCCTCCTCCTCCTCCTCCTCCTCCTCATCTCTTCGGGCCTGGAGCGGCAGAACGGGAGAATGAGAGAGTCGAGGAGCGGGAGAGCGGGAGTGCGGAAGGGCGGGAGGGCGGAGAGCGGGAGAGCGGGAGAGCGGGAGAGCGGGAGAGCGGGAGAGCGGGAGAGCGGGAGAGCGGGAGAGCGGGAGAGCGGGAGAGCAGGGGAGCGGGAGAGCGGGAGAGCGGGAGAGCGGGAGAGCGGGAGAGCGGGAGAGCGGGAGAGGGAGAGCGGGAGAGCGGGAGAGCGGGAGAGCGGGAGGGCGGGAGAGGGAGAGGGGAGAGCGCGGAGAGCGGAGAGCAGCGGGAGAGCGGGAGAGCGGGAGAGCGGGAGAGCGGGAGAGCGGGAGAGTTGGAGAGCGGGAGAGCGGGAGAGCGGGAGAGCGGGAGAGCGGGAGAGCGGGAGAGCGGGAGAGCGGGAGAGCGGGAGAGCGGGAGAGCGGGAGCGCGGGAGAGCGGGAGAGCGGGAGAGCGGGAGAGCGGGAGAGCGGGAGAGCGGGAGAGCGGGAGAGCGGGAGAGCGGGAGAGCGGGAGAGCGGGAGAGCGGGGGAGCGGGAGAGCGGGAGAGCGGGAGAGCGGGAGAGCGGGAGAGCGGGAGAGCGGGAGAGCGGGAGAGCGGGAGAGCGGGAGAGCGGGAGAGCGGGAGAGGGGAGCGGGAGAGCGGGAGAAGCGGGAGAGCGGGAGAGCGGGAGAGCGGGAGAGCGGGAGGGGAGAGCGGGAGAGCGGGACGGGAGCGGGCGGGAGAGCGGGAGAGCGGGAGAGCGGAGAGCGGGAGAGCGAGAACGCGCCAACTGGGCTTCCTGGGTGGCACGGGTGGCCGAGAGGCCCCGGGACGGAATGGCCCGGGCCTGGATGGCCACTCTTCCCGCTCTCCCGCTCTCCCGCCCTCCCGCTCTCTCCCGCTCTCCCGCTCTCCCGCTCTCCCGCTCTCCCGCTCTCCCGCTCTCCCGCTCTCCCGCTCTCCCGCTCTCCCGCTCTCCCGCTCTCCCGCTCTCCCGCTCTCCCGCTCTCCCGCTCTCCCGCTCTCCCGCTCTCCCGCTCTCCCGCTCTCCCGCTCTCCCGCTCTCCCGCTCTCCCGCTCTCCCGCCCTCCCGCTCTCCCGCTCTCCCGCTCTCCCGCTCTCCCGCTCTCCCGCTCTCCCGCTCTCCCGCTCTCCCGCTCTCCCGCTCTCCCGCCCTCCCTCCGTCCCGCTCCCCCGAGTGCCCCCGAGAGTGGAAGTCAAGGCCCAACCCCGAGGGCTTCCGAGTGGAAGTTAAGGCCGCAAAGAGGCTTAGGTAGATCATAGGATGGGGGGCGACCATATGTATGTATACCTATGTGTATCTATATCTATATATGTATATATACACACAAATATATAAACATCTATATATACATATATATATATATATATGTGTTTATTCTACCTGTGAAGCTACGAGGAAAAACCCGGCCTGTCACCGTCCCCCCCCCCTGGGCACCCGCACACGACCCCCAGACCCACTCCCTGGCGTCTCGAAGAGGCCTCAAGACGGCCCAAGAGGCCTCCAAGGCGGCCCCAGGAGGCCCCCAAGATCGCCCAAGAGGGCCCCGAGACGCACAAAGATCGCTCCGCGACGCCCGAGATAGTCCCAATGTGGCCCAAGACGCCTCCAAGACGCCCCAGGGGCGTCCAGGAGGCTTCCCGAAGATCCCAAAATGCAAAAATGGTTGGGTTTGTTTGAACATTCTTGAAGGTTTCTTTGGGTCTCGCCTTTTCGGCTTCCCGACGCTTCAAGACAGCCCAAGAGGCCCACAAGATCGCCCCAAGACCGCCCAAGAGGCCCCCGAAACAGCCCCAAGATTGTCCAAACGGGCCCCAAGGCAGCCCAACCTCTCAGACGGCCCAAGAGGGCCCCAAGACGGCTCCAAGAGAGAGCCCAGACGGGGGATCCGAACGGACGTTTCGGGCTTTGGCCCGAGGCCCCCAGGAAGCGCCAAGAAACGCCCTGGAGGCCCCTACGAGGCTCCGAGAGGCCCCCACGAGACTCCCAAGAGGCCCCCGAGCGGTCACCAAGAGCCTCCCAAACGGCCCCCAACAGGCACCGAACCGGGCCCCACGAGGCTTCCGAAATGCTCCCAGGAGGGCCCCAAAAGACCTGCCCCCAAATTCCTCCAAGAGAGCCACGAGACGCACAAAGATCGCTCCACGACGCCCAAGATAGTCCCAATACGGCCCAAGACGCCTCCAAGACGCCCCAAGAGGCGTCCAGGAGGCTCCCCTGGAGGGCCCCAAGAGGCAACAAATGGTTGTTTTTTTTTTCGTAGGTTCTGGAAGGTTTCTTCGGGTCTCGCCTTTTCGGCTTCCCGACGCTCCAAGACGGCCCCAAGAGGCCCCCAAGATCGCCCCAAGACCGCCCAAGAGGCCCCCGAAACGGCCCCAAGACGGCCCCAAGACGGGCACCAAGACAGCCCAGGAGGCCTCCAAAACGGCCCAAAAGGGCCCCACAAAACGGCGCTAAGAGAGAGAGCCCAATCGGGGGAGCCGAACGGACTGGCCCTCGGCCCCAAGAGGCCCCCAGGAGGCCCCGAGAAAGGCCCTGGAGGACGGCAAGAGGCTCCCAGGCCCCCACGAGCCCCCCAAGAAGCTCCCAGGCGGCCCCCAAGAGCCCCCCAAACGGCCCCCAACAGGCGCCGAACCGGGCCCCAAGAGGCTCCCAAAATCCTTCCAGGAGGCCCTCAAGAGACCTGCCACGAGCTCCGAACGAACTGTCCAGATGCTCCCAGGAGGAGCCCCAGACGCCTCCAGGACAACTTCAAGCGCGCTCCAAGGCCTCCCAAGATGGCTCCAAAACGACCCCGGATGGCCAGTTGTCGTCGCTGGCCTTTGCAGGCCTGATTGGGGATCCGCTTGGGGCCCTTTTCTGGTCATCTAGGTGCCCTCTTGGGCTGTCGTGGGGCCGTTTTGGGACGACGATGACGACAACGACGTCGACGACGCCGACGACGACGCCGACGACGACGACGACGACGACGACGACGACGACGACGACGACGACGACGACAACGGCGGCGGCGGCGACGACGACGATCTGGACCGCAGCGTCACTAGAGAAACGTCGGTGCAAGGATCAATATTAGAAGACGAAGCGCAGCGAGCCTTAAAATCTTGTGTATGTATATACATATGTATATATGTGTATATATATATATATATATATATGTACGCATGCATAGAGGAATGTGTACATGTGATTACACACGCGTAGCACGGAGTTCGGGACAACAGGGTCGGGAACGCGCGGGCGAGCGGGCGGCGTGCCAAAGCACAAGGGGAGCTGGGAAGGTCGTGGGTTTGGGGGGCTGTGGAGCCCAGACTTGTAGTGAGCTGGAGGAAGAGGGGGTCTGGCAACTCCCTCTCCCTACCGACAGCCTAAATCTGGAAAATACGAACGCCATCGTGGCAAGCACTGAACAACAACCAGCGTGCCTCCCCAGCGCACCTCGCACTGGCAGTGCCGCCCCCACGCCCTCCGATCGTTAGCTCGCGACGCTCCTCTCGGCATAACCCGCTCCAGGCATGGGGAACTGGCTATGGATGAGAAACCGTTGTGCTGTATGTATACTCACCCGCCTCCCTTTCCCACGCTCTCTGACAGTGCGCAGCCACACCTCGTACCTCGTTCGAAACAAAGACTACAACAACAGCTCCCCGAGGCTTTGTGCAGCCATGCGGTTCCTGCATGGTGGCACGCATGCGATCTGCATTTTCAACCCGTCTGCCGAAGCGCCGTCAGGGCGCGGCTTCTTCGTTTTTCGTTCATTCGTGCGCGTACACTCGAAGTGAACTGCTGATGGGATGGGGGTGATCTGCGAGGATTGTGTGGCGGGGTGGACCGCGTGCGCGCGTGAAGGCCGCGGGCGCCACGGGGCGTGGGCTCCTGGAACAGCTTCGGGCAGCACCCTGGGCGTCCTCCCGGTCCGAAGAGGGGCATCCGGCCACGACTCGTCCAAAACCGAGCCAGCACTCCCGGGGGGGGAAGGCTCGGAGACGGTCTGGCATCCATAGCGCCTGCTCCTCTGCACATGCCCTCTGTCCGGACGCGGCGCCGAAGAGGGGGGCAGGGAAGAGGGGGGGATAGGCGCACCGTGGCCCGAGGCACGTGCGCGAACGAGGGGGGGGGGCCGAGGAGCACACGGAAAGAAGAAGAGGGTGCCGTGGCATCTGGGAGATATCATGGCCCCTGCCGTGATATCCGCACACCCCTGGCCCTCACATGCCCTCGTGGACGTCCCAAGCGTGTCAGGGCGGCGGCTCCTCCACGGGGAGCAGCATCTGACGGCCGCGGAAGAGCGCGACGAACTCGTCCTGGTCGAGGGAGGCCGTGCGAGGGTCCTCGGCGCCCGTCGGCCATCGTGCTTCGCTGCCGCCTCCTGCTCTGTCAGGCTTCCCCGCCTGCTCATCCCATTCCTACCCCTCCTCCGCCTCCTCCTCCTCCTCCTCCTCCTCCTCCTCCTCCTCCCCCTCCTCCTCCTCCTCATCCTGTCGCCGTCGCCGGTGGCTAATCCAAGAGAATGCAGTCCTCCCACCCCTCCCCGAGCAGCAGTTGCCGTTGAGGGGGGGTGATCAAAGTAGAGGATCTGTGAATAACAGCTCGACGAATGACCACGTGGGGAGGAGGGCCCCTCCGAGCGTGGAGTTACTAGGTCATCCGACCACACCAGGGAAGAGGGGTGGGGGGGTGCAAGTATTGACAGTGGCAGGCTGCGCGGCGAAAGTCAGGTGCCAAATATCAAAGGTTACAGCTGTGGGGGCAGCGTGGCGCCGTGGCGCCAAGCCTGTGGTGCGCTTTACCTGGGCGACAAAGTGGCAGGAAATAGGGGTGCGCAGGGGTGTAGACTGCACGGAAAAACTGGCGTGCGAGGTTGGTACTGACGATGACCACGACGAAGCCAACGCCAACGCCAACAGCACCAACCACGACGACCACGAAGACAACGACGACCACGATCACGACGACTACGACGGCAGCGTCAACCGCGACGACGACCACCACCACGACGACCCCCACAACGACCACGACGACAACGACGACGACGACGACGACGACGAGCAGCACCACCACCGTGACGCCGACGACGCCGACCACGACCACGCCGTCGGCGCGCTGGCGACGGGCCCCTCCTGGAGGAGCGCGTCCAGCACGGCGAGCGAGGCCAGGAACACCTCGCGGAGGCGGCGCGGCGCCGCGCGCACCGCCCGCCGCGGGGGGCCGCGCGCGGCCCCTCCCGCGCGGGAAGGGCCACGATACGGCCACAAAAGTGTTAGGTCGGGCATGTCCTCCCACAGGGGGATTCTAGTGGGAAAAATCAAGAATATTTATATAAAAAATAAAATAGGCTCACCAATCTTCAGAATTAGCCTGACGAAGGACCCAACCATATGCAGGTGTGAGTACCGCAATTGTGATTCACTTTTTCTGTGGTGATCCCTATGAGGCAACGAACCGTGCTAGGGGTGTGCCGAAATGAGTAGCGTGGTATACAACGCGAACGAAAACGATTGATCTGAGTACGTAGGGAGACTGAGCGCGGGTAAAACTGAGCGCGGATGCGTCTGACTGTGAATGAATCTGCGTGCGAGCGAGTCTACGTGCATGAATGCGAGTACGACAAAGCATGGTGTAGTTGCATATGAAGATCAATCGTTTTAGAATGACTGCCTCTGAGTACTCGTGACGGTGGGCGTGGCCGCCGCAAGAAGCTTCCCTGAGACTCCCCGACGGCATCGCCCGCGCGCCGCGACGCCAATGTCGGCGCGCCCCCCCGCGAGGATCGCGCCCGCCCCCTCCCCTTCTGTGACTCCCTCTTTGCCCGCGCACTCAAAAGTCCAAGGCTGCGGATGCAGCGCGGCGCTGAGTCCCCGCGACGCGCGCAGGTCGCCCCGGAGGGGTCCCAGCGACGCGCGCGGGTCGTCCGCTGCGCGGAGCACAGAGAGCTAGCTGGCTGGCTGATAGCGAGCAAGGCTCTTGCCGCTGGGCAGAGCGACGACGTGCGAGCGAGGCGCTGGGCAGAACGCAGCACGGAGTCCCCGCGACGCGCGCAGGTCGCCCCGGAGGGGTCCCAGCGACGCGCGCGGGTCGTCCGCTGCGCGGAGCACAGAGAGCTAGCTGGCAGTCTGATAGCGGGCGAGACTCTTGCCGCTGGGCGGAGCGACGACGGGCGAGCGAGGCGCTGGGAAGAACGCAGCACGGAGTTCGTTCTCCTCAGAACTCCGACGGCCTCCGACGGAGATGTACTGGGTGGGGGAGACGCATGCGGACTGCGCCACGGGGACCTTCGGTGGAGCCCCTTTATGGGGCCACGAAACGCTATACTGGGTGAGGAGACGCATGCGGACTGCGCCACGGGGACCTTCGGGGGCGCTCCCGATGGGGCCACGAAACGCTGTACTGGGTGAGGGAGACGCAAGCGGACTGCGCCACGGGGACCTTCGGTGGAGCCCCTATGGGGCCACGAAGCGCTGTACTGGGTAGGGGAGACGCATGCGGACCGCGCCACGGGACCTTCGGTGGACCCCCTATGGGGCCACGAAACGCTGTACCACTGCGCCACGGGGACCTTCGGTGGAGCCCCTATGGGGCCACGAAACGCTGTACTGGGTGGGGGAGACGCATGCGGACTGCGCCACGGGGACCTTCGGTGGAGCCCCTTTATGGGGCCACGAAACGCTATACTGGGTGAGGAGACGCATGCGGACTGCGCCACGGGGACCTTCGGGGGCGCTCCCGATGGGGCCACGAAACGCTGTACTGGGTGAGGGAGACGCAAGCGGACTGCGCCACGGGGACCTTCGGTGGAGCCCCTATGGGGCCACGAAGCGCTGTACTGGGTAGGGGAGACGCATGCGGACTGCGCCACGGGGACCTTCGGTGGAGCCCCCTATGGGGCCACGAAACGCTGTACTGGGTGAGGGAGACGCATGCGGACTGCGCCACGGGGACCTTCGATGGAGCCCCTATGGGGCCACGAAACGCTGTACTGGGTGGGGGAGACGCATGCGGACTGCGCCACGGGAACCTTCAGTGGGGCTCCCTATGGGTCCACGAAACGCTGTACTGGGTGAGGGAGACGCATGCGGACTGCGCCACGGGGTCCTTCGGTGGCCCATCCCGTGGGGCCACGAAACGCTGCACTGGGGGGTGATGATGCTGATGTTGATGTTGGTGATGATGCTGATGACGACGATGATGGCGATGATGATGATGATGACGATGATGATGATGATGATGATGATGATGATGATGATGATGATAATGATGATGATGATGATGATGATGATGATGATGATGATGATGATGATGATGATGACGATGACGATGACAATGACGATGAGGATGATGCTGATGCTGATGCTGATGCTGATGCTGATGCTGATGCTGATGCTGATGCTGATGATGATGATGATGATGATGATGATGATGATGATGATGATGATGATGATGATGAGAGGAGGGGAGGAGGAGGAAGAGGAGGAGGAGGAGGAGACGCGGGGACCGTCTCTTCAAAACGAGGACCCAACAGCACATGTTAGTTGGGAAATAATCAAAACAAAAAAAAAAGAAAAAAAAACGTCCCCAGACTATGTTTTGACTGTTTTTGAAAACTCCTCCTGTAGAGGGACAGGCCCGACTTAACCCTCGTGCTATACCCTAAGGTATACGCCGAGTGTGAAGGAAGGGGCGCTCTCTCCGGCCGCGAGGGGCCTCCGCCACGACGAGAGGCCCCGCGACCTCTACGCCGAAGAGGAGCGGCTCGACCAACAGAGCCACTCTCGATGATGATGTTAATGCTGATATTGATGACGATGTTAATGATGATGTTGATGCTGATGGTGATGCTGGTACTCAAGCTGCTGCTGATGATGATGATGATACTGATAATGATGCTGATGATGATGCTGATGATGATCATGATGAAGATGAAGATGAAGATGAAGATGAAGATGAAGATGAAGATGAAGATGAAGATGAAGATGAAGATGAAGATGAAGATGAAGATGAAGATGAAGATGAATATGCGGATGATGATGATGATGATGATGATGATGATGATGATGATGGTGATGATGGTGATGGTGATGGTGATGGTGATGATGAAGAGGGTGATGATGATGATGCTGCTGCTGCTGATGATGATGATGGTGGTGATGATGATGTTGTTGTGTGAAGGAGAAGGAGAGGGGGTTGTTTTGTTGTTGGCCCTTCTCTCTCAGAGTCTTGACTGCACAGAGGGGAGGACCGGCTCCGCGGGAAGAAGGGGGGCGACACCCCGACCCCAAAGCGCCGACGCGCCGCCGATAGACCGGCACCAGGCACCCGACAGCGAAGACGCATGCTCCTCGGCAGGGTGGGCCACCAGGCTCATGTTGTTCCCATCGCACTACAGGACCACATCCCAGCAAGAACTTCGAGCACCCAGGGCCCGACACGTGGAAACCCTCTGGTTTCAGTGCTTTCATGGTGCTCGGAATTCTCTCTGGTGGTCAAGGCTAAAGGAGGTTGGAACATCGTGACATCAGGCCCCAATCGGCGATGAATCGGGCTCGGCCCTCGAGAACCCACGAGGGAATACTTTGGGACGTTTCCAAGCGGCTTCCCAGCGGCGAACATAACCGTATCCGCGCCCTGGCGGTCTGGATTCTGGGGCGCGCTCCTGTGGACGCGCGGCGACACGGGTACGCTCTGCGCGCTGGCACACCCGCGAAAACGACGACCCCGTCTCCCTGGGGTCGCGGCCGAGAGGCAGGTCCCGGGCGGACGCCAGCCTTGCAAGATGATCTGCCGCATGCTTCTCCTCCTCCTCCTCCTCCTCCTCCTCCTCTTCCTCCTCCTCCTCCTCCTCCTCCT